TGGAAATTTCATTTAATTGATAAATTACGAAACGTTTTGTAATGAAAATGAACGGAATAAAATGATTTAATTTGCCTTTTGTAAAAGTCATTTACATTCAAAATGTCAAATCCATCAACATTCGTTTTTGTTTTTTTTTGTTTACCAAGATGTCATTTTAAGAAAAGGCACCATACCGTGAAAATAAATACACTACAGACAAAAAAAAAATACAATAACACGAGAAGAGAAAATGAGAAAAGTTACATAATGAAGTAGAATATGACAAAATATTTATTATAATATGCCAGTGTATGGTAATCTTTTCCAAATTGAGATCGTGAGAAATGAATTCAGATCATAGGTTTGTATTGTCATGGAACACTTTTTTTTTCAACAAGCAAAAATGCTGGTTTTAAAAGCAATGTACTACATTATTTAAATCACTTTCATTTATATACTAAATTATATTAAAATATTGCATAAATTCAGGATGAATTCGAATTCCATTGTTAAGAAAGTAAGTTGTTTGAAAATAATTATATTTTTTGAAGGCATGACATTTACTGTTAACATTTTGCATTATTACTCTTAATATAAAGTAATCAAAGCTCTTATTTTACGAATTTTGAGGGGATGAAGGTTGAAAGAAATTTCTTTATAACGAAAAACTATGTGTTTAAAAGAAGCGAACATTTCATGCTTCTTCAATTTACTCCCTATGAGGAAAACGATATCACAAATTTCAAGAAAAAAACCCGGCTTAAGATAACGGTAAATATAAATAAAAATAATATAATAAATATCATTAACCTTAAATATTTGTTATAAAAGAAAAACCACAGCAAGTGGAATTAATTTTAATGTTGTCGACCACTGACGCTCTCTGTATATAAAACTGTTATATTTTTTACTAAAATACTTTTTTTTTCATTAAAGTTTCCTAACTTATTAAAGTAGGTACACTGTTAATCTTTTTTTGTTTTGTTAAAATTAAAATTAATATTCATTTTATATATTTAATATTGTGTATAAGAGCGACAACTGATGACTATATACTTAAATGATATATAACAAGTAAAAACGTTTCAGTCGGTATGAACCGATTGAATTATACCCTGCACCTTTCGTAGTTGTATAGCAATTACTCAAACCTGTGAAACCATGCTATAGAAATTTCACGGATATGTCTGATTTATAACTGGACACACAACTGCCAAGTTTCATGAATCTAACTTTATTATTTTTCCAAATATTTAAAATAAGCTTTTAGACTTGTATGGGAGCTACTCAAACCTGTCAAGCAATTTCACCAAAACTTCAGAAATATATCTGGCCTATAACTCGACACACAACTGTCAAGTTTCATGTATCTGACTATATTATTTTTCCAAATATTTAAAATTAGCTTCTGGAGTTGTATGGCAGGTACCCGAACCCGTTGTCCGAATTAGTCCAATAACAATAGGGCTTGGCACAAAAGAAAAAACTTGTGAAAGTTTGGTGTTGATTGCTTTATTCGTTTTTGAGTTATCGTGCGATCGGACGGAAGGACGGATGGACGGACGGATGGACGGACGGACAGACGGACATGTCTAAATCGATGCAGAATTTTACGCTGAGCAAGAATATATATATATATCAATACCGCAGATGACTCCTTCAAGTAGTTACAAACTCCATACCAAAATTAATATACCCTTCACGAAGTGCAGGGTATAAAAAGAGAGAGAGAGATGAAAAAAAAAATATATATAAAATATAAAAGAAACAAAATAGCTCTGAAGATGATCTCTTCAACCATAATTTATAATTACTTGTGTATTATATTTTAATTAAAAAAATATAAATTATACAAATATACGTGAGTATAAATGAATGAACTGTTATACATATATGTATGTCATACAATATGTATGAGTATGAGTATAATTATTATTATTATTATTATAATGTATGTATGTATATATAAATGAAAGGAAGGAAATGATGTAGGTTAGGTTAGAAGATGATAGGCCTTCAATGGATTTAATTTTGTAAAAATTTTTCTCAGAAAAACAAGAAAAACAAGAAAAAAAAAAGAAAATTTCTGTGAAAAAAGTATGAGAAAATAAAATTAACTTTTATGAATCCCTTTTTGTTTTTTTTTTCTTGTTTTTCTTTTTTACACTTTGAATCAGTTATATAATTAATTTCTTCATTTTTTCTTTTCAGACAAGGTCATTTTATCCTCCTCCGGATTTATTTAAAACTTTTTTTCTGTTTAGAAAAGAATATCATCATTTTTAGACAAAATATATAATTTCTTTCATTTTCATCACGAAAAAAAAAAACATTTTTATTTTGAAGAAGCTGTTATACATATTTGCCTCTATAAATATAGATTGTGCTAAATCTGAAAGAAGCGCCTAATATTAGATTAATCTTATGACTTTAAGAAAATAAATTGAATTTTCTTTATTTTCTTTTTTGTGTCGTTATCTTCTTGATTGTGTTTAATTCAATATTATGGAAAAAAAAATGGATAAATGAAAGGTTTAGAAAATTTTTCTTTTATATAAAAGTTATAAGGAAATTTTATTTACTTATATTTTTTATTAATTTAAATTGTTATTTATTGTTGAAAAATTTCTGAGAAAACAAAATAATTAAAATTAATTTTTTGCCTTTTTTCGTATACCAATTGAATTGTTAAATTAATTGTTAAAAATCAATATATAATTATATATAATTGTATATAACAGTTAATTGAGTGTGAAATTAGGAGGGTAATATTTTATCTCATATTAAATTTAAGTTTAGAGTGTTGAAATTTTTGATAGTATAGAATATAAATACAGAAGCGATTAAGAATTTTAAATCCAACCGCAGTACGAATGAATTTTTTAACAATCTCACTTTCATTGATAACCCCAAAAATAAATTGCATTGATTAATTATATCATCATTAAGAATGCTATAGTGATATATATGTGAAATGTCGAGAGGAAGACTTAAAATTAAGAGGACCCCACAGTAGGATCGCCTTTGGGAGTAGAAAGACGAATTAAAAGCGTTTCCCAAGTTAGACCTGGTGACTCCCTCCCACACTCAAGTGCTAGTTACACTTCTTGAATCATGTGCTATCTAAATCGTATCGATTTTCGCGAACTGACTAGGGTGTACTTCAGATAAGTATCAGAGATTTAGATAGATTTCTCGAGAAAACCGGGTGGCTTAAGTAGGTTACCTGTAATCGTACGCTTAATGAGAGCCAGTGGCTTCTGAGACAGTGTATTTTGCAGTAAACACAAAGGGAATTATTTTTTTTTGCGAGGGCGTAACAAAAAAATGGGCTTTTATCTTCCTCGGAAAAACTAGTGGAGCACGTAGAGAAAAATTTAATTTTATATTGATGCAACATTCATTGCAAAATGGAGAATAATTGATGGTTTTAATTTCTTCTCTTTGAATTTCACAAATTTTAGTTAAGGAAAATTTTACATTAAACGATGATTTTCCCTTGTTATTTACTTTACCATTTATCCCCATTGAATGTTATTATTTAACCAGTCGTGACATTACAAATTAAACAAAGAAATTTTAAATGGTGTAATCAAAATAAAATGCATAGTTCAAGCTTTTTCTATATTGCAGTTAAAATTCTTTATTATCTCAAATTATTTACTTTTAATCCATTTCCTTTTTTCTTAATTATAGCAAAAAAAAAAAATAGTCCAAATAAGTAATTGAGAAATGTGGTCATAGAGACAAAAAAGGTAAATAAAAAATTGTCTTGAAATTTTTATCCAATTTTCTTCTATACCACATCTATTTCAAATGAAAAATCTGAGAGAGAAGAAATAGAAAAAGTAAAAATAAAAAATCTACTTTAAAAAGGATTATTGGCTCACTTTGGTAACTAATGATTTGTTTTAGATACAAAGAATATTATTTTCAGCTTTTATTGTTTTTCATGAAATATAAAGGACTTGCTTACAATATACCTGAAAATTTTCCAACAAAATAAATATTTACTAATCATTGGTTGAAATAATTCAAATACACAAAAATGTAATTATATTATATAACAGAAAATTGTAACAAAACTAAATAAATCTTTCTTAAGATTAATCAGTTAAGTATGGAAATAAAAAAGAATTGTTAAGTAAAGAATTGTTGCTAAAACTTTTTAAATAGAGTGCGGTAATGTGACTTATACTTTATCATTGGATTCTTTCTTGAACACAATTAATTAACAAATAAAATTATAGTTGCACCTTAGAATTTTAACTATGAATTTTATAAGAGAATTCAATATAATCTACGGACATAAAGTGTCTTCGAAATATGTAAGTTTTTTTTGAATATGTAGGTTTTCTTTTAAATATGTACCCAGTTTTCTTTGTGTGAAATTTACCTCTATATATGTATGAATACATTTGATTTCAAATTTAGTTATCTAATAGAGCGTGTTTTTTTTTCTCAGATACAAAAACAATATTGTTTTTCCTTCAGAAGCTTAACATTCTTAGCTTAATGACATTTTGTCTTTTTCTCGGTAGCGGTATGAGACGAAAATGGACTAAAAGAAAATCACAATCATGTCTCATATTTAGGTTCACCCAAGGCCCATTTCCCGAGTAGAGACGCACCCAACTACGTTATATTCAAATAATGCCAACAGCTTGGGAGTACAAAATTTTTTTGCTAAATACTCTGATTATCCCATGAAATCTTTAATCTAACTTCGCATGAAATTTATAATCATTTAACTGTTTGGTAGAACAAAATGTCGGTGTAATTTTCTATTTTTGTAAATAGTTAACAACAATAAATTGGTTGGTGTTAAAATTTTTTATTACATGAGTGTTACATAGAGTTACAATATAATGGAAACAGAACATTCCTTGAAAGTTTATTTCCAATTTCTTTTTTAAATAGCAATATATCCTTAAGAATCCTTAAGAATATTGTTATTTTTTATTTTTTCAAGAAAAAGACAATAATTTAAAAAAAAATGTAAAATTATATTGACTTACCTTTAACATCATAGAATCGGGGCTGCGAGTAAACATCTCTGGGATCGGGGATGGCTGTTATATTAATTAAAAAAAAGAGAAAACAAAGAATTTTAGCAGAATTACAGTTATACTTTTTTAATTTTGTTTATTTTATATTTAAGGTAAATCGAAGAAGAAAAAAAACATGGTGGAGGATTATAATGGAAAAAGAGATTACTCTCCCAGAGTTTGGATAATATTTTTCTTATAAATATTGACTGAAAATTCTTTTCTTATTTGCTTGAATTTTTCTTATTTGTTGACAAAATATCAGCAAATTCTATTCTATTTTGCACTTTTTACTCGATAATAAAGAAAAAATGAGAGCAGCTCTAGATTAGTTGAATATCGGAAGAAAAGGTATTGGACTGTCTATGCGGAGAGTTGGAAAGAAACTGGTATTGAGCAGTTGCGGAATAAATTTTCAAAGATCTTTTCAGACAAAATGCAATGGAAGATTGACAAATATTTACAAACGTTACGGTTGTATATGCAGTAAATGAAAATATCCTAAAGAAGCCAAAAACTCCTCTCCGCGTCAAATCGCTTCTAAATTTACTGTAATCTGTTTTTTTAAGTAGACATCAGGCAAAATGGATGAGTTCTGCTAATAATTTTAAAAAATTTGTTCTGTGATGACACAACAATGGAAAAACTTGCCTTAATGTTGAACAAAGATTCGCTTTTCCGTCAAAACTTTTTGTAAAATTCAAATTCTTTATTATTCAAAATAGAGCCTTTTTTCCAAGTTATAATTTTAAGGATAAAAGATTCTTGTTTTGTTCACCTCTGCTTAATAAAACCTTCAACTTCGAGTTTTTCTCTTCTTATTTTTGGTTAAAACAAATTCTTCATTGTTACAGTCTTATTTAAAATGCAAAGTATAACAATGTCTTTTGTACTAGGAAAGAAGTAGAGAAACTTAATAAAAAAGCAAAAGTAATTCTAAATTTTTAATTTAATTTTTAAGTTTCTTTGATATGAAAATCACACAATTTTATTGCATTTAAGTTTTACAATTCTATCCTTGCTATCCTTCTCCCCGCTATTTTCTACTCTGAACTTTGAAAAAAAATCGTCTGTTCTTCGCCAAGAAATCAAGAAATTCAAACTGTTTAGAATTAAAAATAGTTTTTTTTTCTTAAAATTTTAAACTTTGTTTTTTTGTCATATTTTTTTTTCCACATTAATTAAAACGTTTATGTTTTTCTAAATTAAATGAAATTAGTGTAGCGGAAAGTTGTTAAGTTCAATATGAAACTAGAGAAAAAAAAAAATAAGTGGATTTTTGCTTTGAAATAAGTGAACAACTTGTATGAGTAGCTAAGCATGACTTTTAAGGTAAAAAAAAAGCAACAAAAAAAAACAAAGTTCCTCTTTATTATTTTTGATTTGCAATATAGAAAGAAAATTTTTTTTTTTGAAAAAAAAAGTTAACAAAAAACTGTTAGAAAGCATTGACATAAAACAGTTGAGGTTCTCTACTTTTCTTTTTTTTTATGTAGGTTAAATGTTTCCATGGTTTTGCTTACATTTTCGAAAAAAAAAATTATTAAAAATTAAAAGAAAGTATTTAATTAATGTGTGTGTAAGTGTAGAGGAACAACAACAATATGAAAAAGAATAATTTAAAAAAAAATTCATGCAGCGTTCGTTCTTCGTTAAAGTTGAAATTTTTAAAGTGATGATTGAGAAGGTTAAATTATGATAATATCAAACAGGTTATATAAATAGCGAAAGTGGAATAACATTGAAATAAATTTATGTTGGAAATAAATATGGATGGAAGGTTGAAAAAAAAAAATATTTAATTTAGGTAGGTGTTCCGGTAATTGTCGAATTTAATTACGATTTAAGAAACTCCCAAATCTTCTTTCGTCTTGTTATTATATGGAAGCGAGCAATAATTATTTTGACCATATATATCGGGGTCAATTGATCTCATAAATCATATATAAAAATAATTGTACAGCAGACTTTGAAGACCATTCTCTAAAGAGCACTCTGTATACAGAAGAGTATTCTGTAAACCTCTTCTTCGTAAATAACTTGAATGAAAAGCGTCTATTTTGAAGAAAATTTGGGAAAAAATTACGAATTTCTTGGACATGAATATAATCCCAGTTTAGTCAGAAAACGTATTTAAAAATTTCATATTCAATAATTTTGTGTGGAATTCATTGGATTGTCCTGATATTTTTAAAAACTCATCAAATCTAATAATTTAGAGAAATGCAATTAAAAACATCCTGTCTCAAGTTCTGTATTTCAATACTTAAAATTTTTTAATATTTTACTGCTTAAACATATTTAATATTTTTTTTACTGAAATTTGCATACTTTCAGGGGCATGAAAATTTTATGTTACTCTCCGCATTATGATACTATTTGGTTCAAGTACGTAGTTGATTCTAACTATATTCTCTTACACAAGCAGTTTAAAATAATACATATTGTTCAAGGTGTCGAAGATTTCAGTATAAGAATATTAATTTAATTATAATGATTCAAAAAAAAACAAAAAATTTAACAATTTAATTAAAATATTTTAAAATTACCTGTAACAACGTCTAATGATATTCCTAAATTAATTTTTGGTTCAGTATTAACTTGACATTCATATATTCCGCTATCTCTTAATTGTGCATATTCTATTTTAAGATCCCAGTCTTCACTACCAGGTGTATGTATTACAGAAAATCTTTGATCACCTGTATATGTATATATATTTGTTGTTAAAATATGCAGATCACGTTTTCTCATCCATGAAACCTTTATACATAGTATTTTTTTTTATGTTTTTTATTTTCGAATCAATGAATTAAAATTACATGAAAATATTTTGTAAATTTGAATAAAAAAAAGAGAGAATGAGAGAGAGAGAAAGAGAGAAAAAAAACAAATAAGGTGAATAAAAAAGTTTTAAAGTTTAAAAAATTTTTAAATTTTTTTTTTTTGTTATAAAAGTTTTTTTTTGTTATAAAAGTTAATAAATATTTATATGTGTAGGTTATACAGGGTGTCCGAGACTCGAGCAAATTCGTCCAGATGAACAAAATTTGTATTGGCACATTTTCGTTTTTCGTTTCTCCCTCTCGAGCCAGAGACCCCAAAATTCATCTTGTGAAAAGTATTCAAACTTTGATTTTTTGTGGAAAGTTTGATATTTTCTAAATGTTTGAATTCAGATTTTTATAGATATTATATTTTCTGAGATTACAGAAATTGAATATAGCTCATCGAATTCTGGATCTATTCTATTATTGGTTGCTCTGGTTCTGGAATACCGTCGATTCTCGGACAGCTTGCTTATATATGTGACTACTATCATTGTGTACATTACAAGATCTTTGATAACGGCTCATTATGGCAGTTAAAATGGCTAAATGTTCTCATTGTGCTCATAGTGCCAGAATATAATTCATTGTGCCACAATGAGCACATTGTGTAGAATATAGCTCATTGTTAGAATATAGCTCATCGGACACCTTGCTTATGCATAAAATTACTATCATTGTGTATATTATAAGTTCTTCGATGATAATAGCGTAACAATATTTTTTTTTTTTACAAAATATTTTTTAATATTATCAACTTATTGGAAATTGACGCGGTATTTCTTTTAATTCACATTATAGAAAAAGTAGATAATTGGACAATTTTTGTGTTGGTGTTGGGGAAATCATTCGATTTTACATAGCTAAAATTATGGTATTCTGTTCAGGTTTTGATTGTCATTTTGGTTCTATATAGAGGTAAACTATATATTCTATAATAAAGTTCTTAAATAGCTTAGTTTTTTCTTCCTGCTTAATATTTTAGTATAGATATTGATTAAAGAAAATTTTTTATTATTAAATTTCTTTGATCATTTAAGTTGATGCGGAAATTTTTGCAATTTGTACAGAATATTTTTAAAGTTTTTTTAAATATTAAAGTTCATTGTTCTGTAGATGGCATTTGAATATTTCAAAAAGACTTTTTTGTAGATATTTGAATTATATATGTAATTTTAAGTAGTTGCAATCACACTAAAAATCAAAAATTCTTTATAAAAGCACAAAATATTTCTTAGTTAGCAAATCAGAAATATCTGTATTTTAATGTATAATTTTCATACTCTTCATATTACTTCTCATATTTTATTCTTTATATTGAAATACTATTTAAGACGGTCTATCTTGTCATAAATAAATGCATTGCTGTAATAATCGTCATTTACAGACATAAATATTGCCAAAATTTTGAATAATATTTTTATTCCCTTATAAAATTCTTTTGATTTTTGATTTTGTAATTTAAATATTTTATTTTAGCCAAAAAATAAATTGAAAACAGTTCAGTCACTTAATAATTTAATGTAGAATATAAAATTTAGCTCATATTGCAAAAAAAAAACAATCTTGTTTGGTAAAATGCACGTGCGGTTGAAATAAATATTGTAAATTTTTAAGGGAAAATAAAAATTTTATAATAAATTTATTCCAATTATTTATTCAGAAAATTCAGAATATTTTAGCATTGAAATTATTTGGTTTTTATTTTCATGTCTGCAAAATATATTTTAAAGTTACATGATTTTTATGGAACTATTTTAACAATAGAACCTGTGTTGAAAGTTTAGTATGTAGTCTTTGAAACTTAAATGGTTAATATAAAAATTAATAAAGTATGTAGTTCAATTATAACACTATTTTTAATTATTACGGATTTATAAGCAAATCACTTAAGTAAATTAAAATTTTTCAGAATATTTTGGCAAATAAAATTCTTTTACTTCTGTTGTAAATCCGTTTAAATTCAAAGAAATAAGAAATTTATTAAGCTCATTAGCTTGCTTCCTAGTTCTTTATTTTATTTAAGTTTATATATTTTGTGTATAGCTATGTAGCTAGCTAATAGAAATATTAATAATAGCTAGCCAACAGCTTTCTTTTTAAATTTTACATTAAATTAGTAAAATTTCATTTTAAATTAAGTTTAATTAAAATTGATAAAATTGCATACTTTTAGGGTGACACCAAAATATTTAATGTATAATGAAATTTAAAGGTTTCGTTTTAAATTTTATTAGCTTTAATTTATCGGTATTAATTATTTTATTTAAAACTCAGTAGCACGTAATAAAATTTTCTATAAAATTCTATAAAGTTGAGATACTTGTTCCATGTTCTATTGAGGAATATTGATAATTTATATGTAATTGGACAGAAATTATAGTAAATTAAGGCTTATATTGTTCTCGTAATTTATTAATCAACATAAAATATTCATGATATATTTATGATTATTATTTATTATGTGAGTTTAATTGTAACATGAATTGTTGACAATCTATATTATGTACAATGTACATGACATCGATTGTCGTAGTTTGATTTGATGATATTTTAATATCGAACAATTTCAAATGCTATATGTACATACATACATGAAAACAATATTCAAATTTTTATCTTTTTTTTTTCTTTCAATATATTCAATATGAATGGCTAGCTATATATTTCAAAATTAAAAAAAAAAAAAAAAAAAAAAAATCGCGGAATATTAGAATAAAAAAAAAAGGATGAATTTCCATTAAAAAAATGTCAAAATAAAAAGTAATTTAAAATTTATGATGGGATATTTTTTTAATTTTATTTTTTTTCCATTTTTTTTTTTGTTTTTTTGAAATTATAATGACTTACAGTTCGATTCCCTTTATTTTTGACACGACACTTTAATATTGCTGTCTCGTCCACTACACTCGTTATATTACGTGGGCTAACGTCATCAAAATATGGTTTATCTATGACACCTGAAAATAAAATTCGAAAAAAAAAATTATTAGAAAATATCAAAGAGAAAATATGAAAAAAAAAATTTTTTTTTTTCAGTGTACAAAAAAAAAATGTCAATGAAAAATCTTCAATAGTAATAAAAGGTATTAGATAAAAAAAAGGACGTGTATCAAATGACCTAAAAATATTAGTATCCGTACATATTGTAAATATTATTAAATATAGCTATGGGAGGAGTATTGGCAAAAAAATGGCGTATTGTACAACATTATTACAGAGGAAGGAAATATTTAAATTGTTGTGCAATATCTTAAAATGTAAAACTGAAATTTTTTGCGCGGTCTGGGTTTTTATTTTACACATTTGATATACTTAAGCCGTTCCAAAGCTATCACTCTTAACCGTGAAATTCTACCTTATCACACAAATTTTTTGAACCAAAAACTTTGGGACCTTAAAAAAATTCTGAGAGCATGCTATATTTTAAAGTAAATTCTCTTTGAAAATTTTAGTTTTTTATTACACACACTAGATTTTCACACATTGCGCCAAATTTATAGCAAATAAAAGACAGAAAAAATAATGAAGAAGCGAAAATTGGAAGTGTCTTAACTAAATATATTAATTTTAAACAGATAATTTTGTATGATATTTGCTGTTTCGCGGTAATATGCCAAATTATGGGAAATAAGCTTTTCACTTTTCATTTAAAACTGAAATTATGATGAAATTATGATTCTGAAAATTCTAATACATAAATAAGAAATAACAGCTAATTCAGCTAGCTAATTGATTTTATGATTTAAATTTATTTAAATAATCGATAAAATTGCATATTTTTTGGGGTCGCATTAATAAATTGAGTTTAAACGAGAAATATTACATAAGGTATTATGACGGTTTTTGGCGTTCATATAAATACCATTACTCAATTGGTGTCATCAATATCAATTATTTTAGCGCCAATAAATGATTAACATTTAAATTACGTATTACTTAGTAAAAATATTAATTTTAGGATTAATGTAATAACATAAGTCACTACTGTACACTGCTATACACTTTATAAGTTACTACTGTATATAAATTACATCTGTAACTAGGTCAATTTATTATTAATTTTTAGATATTTTGAAATTTTGAAAGCAATGATGACAAGATTAAATTTTAAAGGAACTGAGTGTGGCAGGAAGATCACCCCGAGCCACCGCAGCCATTCATGACCTATTGTAGCCTCACCACACTCCCACCATCAAAATGGCTTCAATGACATTAAAGTTTTGAGAAAATGAAATAAATGTGTCAAGAAATTTTCAAAATGGTACCATTTACGAGCATGAGTTACGAGCTTACTTAGCAGTATTATGTTAGACTCTCAAATATACGGTCTTGATTTATATCGTGAAATAAATATAAAAATTATTGAGAAACTCTGTGATCCATAAAATAAAATATCATTTTTCTCATCTAAATATCTATACTTTATATAAATAAATATTTAATGTAAAAATGTAGATGTAATCAAATTCATATTGTACAACACTATATTATTATTATTTATTAAGTATATAGTGCTGAAAATGTTATGTCAACAAAACAAAATATTAAAATCCTTCTTTAATCATCCCCATTTCTACAACAATATTTTCTTTATGCTAATTTATTACAATATTTCTTCAATAATATTAAAAAAAAATATATATATATTTTACTTTCCTTTTATGTAAGGATATTACACCTTTCAATATTCTAAATATAACTGTCAGAGACATTCCTTTTCAATCTTGTAAATAATTTTTCTTTTATATAAGAAAACAAAATATGCAAAAATGATCTTTTCCCAAAAAAAAAAAGCAAAATTTGTGTTTTGGTAGTTACGAAAAATCGAACCATCCAAAATATTAGTACATACATTTATATACAAAATTAAATATATAAGAAGGAAAGAGATATATGTTTATGTTATATATTATGTATAGATGTAAGAAAAAAGAAGAAAATGAGTGTCACTTGGGAAATTAAATAATTTGAAGATGGCAGGACATTTTCAGAGATCTTTCAATTCTTTGAATTTTTTTTGGTTTTTATTTTTAGAAATTTTGGTCCTTTTTTTCTTCCTTATATTATTATAAACTTTTCATTTTTTTCCTTTTCGAAGGGATGATGTATAAAAGATTGTTACCTATATTATTATATTTTTATATTTTCCAAAAAAATACCAAAAAATTATTTTTATATTTAATTCGTCTTTTATGTGTATTGGTATATTGAAACTTATAACATATTTTTTTTTTTCATAAATAAGGAGAATTTGAAGTTAGGAAAGTTAGAAACATGAGTCAATTACTTTTGGGATAACCATACTACTAGATGAATAATTTATAAACATATATGATAATGTTGAAATCAATCAGCTGATATGAGGTCAATCATGAGTGTTGCCAGCATAAATTTTTTCCGAATTCGGTCCGGGAATCGGAAATTAAATAATATGCTAAATGGAAAATATAGTAAGCTACAAAGCAGTAATTCGTAGATTTTTGAATTTAAAATATTAGTGTGTTTCGTGGCATTATTACTCATATTTTGGTCTTATTCTAGTAAGAAATTCAAATTTACGCGTCTATACTGCAAAAAAAATTAGAAATAAATTCTGAATAAATGGACAAGTATTTATATGTGTTTATTCAGAGTATTTGTTGTAAAAGGCATAAAAACAAAGTTTTGGTAATTTAATTGGCTTTGAATTTTAAAAGAATTATGATTTATTAAAAAATATAGTATATGTGAAATTTCTTACATTAGATAGTTGCAAAAATACTCTTCCTAATACTTAAGATTTATTCAAAATATGACTTGAGGATTAAATTTGTCATTATTTTAATCAAAGGAGGTTATTCACTTAAAATTTCCAATTAATTTTTCTGGGTTATTGGGACCTTGTAGGTAACACTTATTGAATTTTGATCTCTAATGTTTAAATTTAATGCAACAGATTTCCAAATGCATTATGAGAACTTGGTAATGTTCAACGGTAAAAGTTACTGGTAAAACAATGAAGAAGGTGCCAAAATATTAAAACTAGCTTTTCTATATACAAAAATTTATAGGAATATTTAGTCATATTAAGTTAGATTTTAACTCAGGGTGTGATAATTTTGTAAGATAGCTCCCACATATTCTGCATATCAAATTTTCGCCTAGCTTTAGCGAGATTCTTCAAGGAGGTTCCTTGTTTCAGGTAATTCATGGTAGTTATGGGCTTTTAAATTGAGGGCGGCCGATAGGCATTCTTGTTAGCTTGGTGCATTGTATTCATGTGGGTGGCCAGGCGGGCCTTCCCTCTCTTTCTACTACTACTTATTATTTATATTGAATTTCGTGTATAACATTATAAACGACAGGTCACACCGTTTATACTTTTGATTTTTATATACACGGAGGCAATTCATTTTGCAGGTATATAACAGATAATTATAAATGTTATATAATATCGTAAACGAAAACTACAAAATGAACAATATAAAAAATACATATACTTAATGTATATGCATTATTTTGACATTTATATAAAAATAAAAATTATTTTGACATTTATAATAAACTTAAATGACGGATTACTGACATTAATAATAACAAAATGAACAATTTTTTTTTTCTTATCTATAAATGGAAAGTGATGAATCATTTTAACTATCTAAAAGTGTATGAAAAGCAAAAAGAAGAACAAGACGAAAACATAATTTATTTTTATACCTATGTACGTATGTAATGTTTTTGTATAGTTTTAGTGTTAATGTTAACAGTATAATGACAATATTCCAATATTATAAAAATTATTATTTTTTACCTACGATATAGGCAACTGTGATTTATTATTGTACTTTTCCATTTTATGTGATTTCATGGAGGAGTTTTATATTTAGGAGGGAATTGAATTTGCAGATTTTGATCACAAATTTTTAAGATTCTTTTAAGGCTATTAAATGTACGATATTTATAGAAATTATTTATTGTATACGTGTATAATAAATTTTTAAATTAAAATTAATAAAATTGTTTTATTTTTAGACCTATAAATTACTATAAAATATTATCTAACGTAATAAAATTATCTGTGTGTAGTAAATGATAATCTACTGTATATAATATAAATTGAAATAAATGGGGTCAATAAGGCAACTATATATGGAATTTTCTATCAATGGAAAAATGAAAACAGTAATAATTTTTAACTTATATAATGGAAGACATCAAAATGAAATAGATTAGTATAAAATTGTGCCATCTAATTTTCTGTATATCGTAATTTATATATGGAGAAAAGTGTAAATGAAATATGTATAATTTATAGAGTGTATATTATTATATAGCATGAAACTGTAGGATAAAACTTCATTGGGATTACAGCTGAATGAAATAATTGAATTTTATTTTTCAAATAAAATTTCTTTAATTCTTTTAGTTCACCGAATTCAACTCACTGAATTGATAGAATTTTAATTGAGTTGCATAAGGAATTTTTCAAGTATCATAGGATCCGTATATAAAAAATTGTGAAAGTATCACAGTTTCTCAATTATGTTGAGGTATGCCTTTTCGGTCCTTTTATGAAATTTTAGAATTTTGAAATATACATAGAATTTTGGAATAAAACTAATTTTTTAAAGAAACTTATAGGAAATTTCAGAAGAAAATCCTGGATTTTGATTTATTGGAAAATTGTTTGGTAACCCTTGGTACATTAAATTTCTTAACTACTTGTTCAATTGAGAGGAACTACGTTAAGTAATAATTTAAGTGTATATATTATATAAATTAATTGCATGCACATATACCTACAACTTTTGATAGAACCAACAAAAAAAAATTATTGAATAAATCAAAATTAAAATGGTATGCGTGTGTTCCTTCTTTACATATTTTTAAAATATTTTATAGTACTTTAGTTTATAGCATTCTTTGATACAAATTATTAAACCAAATAATATATTTGAAAGGATTAAAGGGACAAAAA